ACAATGTCCATAAAATATTCTAATCTTTTATCAAAACAAACACATGCTCACGCACAAATAAAATATAATAAAACTCAGTGTTTTTATGTTAGTAAAAATATCTTCGCAATACATTTCAAATACTTGCCAAAAAAATTTTTGGATGATTACTACAATGAGTTATCATTAAAACGAAAAACAATAATTCATTCTATTCCGGTTTTCAAAGATTATGTAGCTTGATTAGATATAATATTCCTGTAATCAAATCGAAAGTATGAATCTACAGAGTCCTATACCACATCAATTTCGCTTTTCAATTTCAATTATTTTCTTTTAAAATGTCATATAAATAATTACTCTTTCCTGAAGAAAAGAAAGACGAAAATTTCTGTTTTTACTTGTCATAATTTCTAAAGAGAGTCAAAGATTGACTAATAGTTGAAAATTTCCTTGTGCAACTCAAAAACCTTATTGAACGTATCCCTCGAAAGTGCTTAACAAAGAAAAAAAAAACTCGAAAAAGGACTGAACAGACCCTTAAATTAATGAGGGAGCCCGGTTTCGAACTGAATTTGAGTAAAACTACTCATATTATTATATACGGGTAGAAAATTATAAAGTTGGCTTTATAATTAAGAAAATGGGAAAATGGTTGTTAAGAGTATAATGACGTGATTGAAGTGGTCCAGAACGCCGTCGAGGCAAAAGAAATTGCATTTTGCGTCGGCCCAGCCCATTTAACTAGTCTTGAAAGACTAGTTATAATTCCCTCATCCAACAACTGAATGTTGGATTCCATTATTTATACTTTAAAAATTCAAAATAAAGCCTTTTTTTGTGTGTCGACAGCACAAATTGAAAATTCAAATATAGTCTAGTTTCATTCGTTAACTTCAAAATTAAATCAAATTTTAACTTTCGGGTTTAGATCTTAAAACAATTTAACCAAATAATTAGACCCGCATATTCTCATTGGTGTCCTTTTATATGATTGCTTCCACGTGTACGTTAAAGATGATGGTTGGTGATCTGTAGGATAAGCAAATATTTGAGTGGCAGGTGTCTCCATTATCATGTCGGCAAATACAATTAAGAACGTATTTACCAGGTTATCACTATCTTCGCTTCTAATTAAAAAGAGTACTCTAATATCCAATTTCAAAAAAAAAAAGAGTACTCTTTACTATTTCTGACTGAAATATATTTACATACTCCAATTCATTTAGATGGTGAATTGGTGATCAGTTGCGGTTGGCTTGCAATCATATACGTAATTGCAATTTATTATCAATTATCGTAATTATAAAAATATACATATTCACTTATTGATAAAAAATCACAATTCATATATATTGATACAAATAAATTTCAAAAGAATTTTCCATAGTTTTTTAGTAAAATACGGTTGAGTCGGTTTAGATTTATGAGCTTGTCCGTGTCACGAAAAGGAATCTTGTAATTTATGACGGTACCAAGAAGAGAATGTTGCTCACCGTACTGAAATCAATTAATGCGTCATGTTTAGCAGTCACCACACTCACTAATTTTTCAAGAATTTTCTCTTCTATTTTGATTCTTTGAAGTTTTTTCTTTTTTAAAAACGTTTTCATTAGTATTTTGAAGTTACCACTTACCACATATAGATAAATTTATTTTTTACTCCTCTTTGATCATCTAATTGTTACGGATAACATATATTATTTTCCCTATATATGTGTGTACTGAAAACTCGATTTTTTTATTGATTACTTTATATGTTTATCTCGTAACTAATTCATTTATTTTTTAACTCTAGAAAAATTCATCTCGTAACTAATTCATTTATTTTAGTTTTAAACAGTATGATATTAGTAAATCTTTATTGGACTGGAATCAAACTAATGTTTAAGACCGGTTAGGACGAAAACCATGCATGCAAAAGCTCGGTTACGTTACGTTCAGAAAAAAAAAAGAAACTCGGTTACGAAAAAAGCAAATAGAATCAAAACTTCGATCGATTAGGTTATGTGACTTCTGTCAAAGACGTAACATCTAGAGAATAGGAGCTTTCATGTGGAATAAGAATGCACAATACAGCAAATGACACGCTGTAAAATGAACAAAGACAGAGAAAATCTGTAGAAGATCTCTCAGGATCCAAACCAAAACTATAAGACGTCATTTATGATGTTACTGACAAATTAACTAAGCCTTGAGCTAGTAGAACCTAAAGGAAGATGTCTTGTCGTGATTGTTTCAGATTCATAATATACGTGTGTGGTGATCATGAACGTTGATGATAGTTTAGAGAGAGAGAAAATGTGTGGGCTTTAACAAAACCCAGTAAAGAACAAAGAGAGATTTTGTCTTGTTGGCTCTTCAAGTCCCAAACTATTTTGTTTTGGAAGCTGAGTCAAAAAAGGTTATTTTTTTTTGTGGGAGTAAGTCTTCTGTACACACAACGCAAAAAAAAAAAAACAAAAGCATAATCTAGATTAGATCTATAACCAGAAGTAAATAAGAAGATGAGCAAACCTGATAAATTCTTGGCTTCCAGAGAAACAGAGAGAGAGAGGTGACAAACATATGCATATGGCAAACCACATGTGGTGGGGATCCAAAGATTTGATCTGGACCGTCTATCAAAAGAAAGAAAGATAAATCTTTGTTTTTGGTTCTGGAGAGCTGGGAGAAAGAGAAAGCGTGTCCCACACATGTCCCCAAGAAGATGGGACACACTTTTGCCTCAAAGTTGCTGTTACTGCTACCGACAAGCTTAGCTTTCTTTTTCCTTTGTCCTTAATTCAAAAAACAGTTTCTTCTATCTATATTCTCCTCAAGTTCTATTAAACACTCAGCTTCCACGAACCCTCATCCTCATCTTCATCATCAACTTCTCTATATTTCTCTATCCTCTCTCTAAAAAAAACTTTCCTTTATTTCTCTCTTGCAAACTCTTGAAGAAAACTCATAAGATAAGATTCAAAGAGAAGTAAAGAAGAAGAAATTGTGTGAAAATGGATGAGTTTGTTAACCTCAAGGCAACGGAGTTGAGGCTGGGATTACCAGGAGCAGACAATGCATGTGAAGAAACAGAGAGAGTTTCTTGCTGTAACAACAGCAATAAGAGAGCAGTACCAAGTGATACTGAGAATGAGACTGAATCGTTAACGAGGAAAACTGAAGCATCCCCTCCTCGAAAGTAAGTTAAACACACAATTCTAATCTGAATCTGATATGGTGATGAGAAACCCTTAAAGTTTATTGAAAGTGTTTTCCTTTTGCAGGGCTCAGATTGTTGGTTGGCCACCTGTTAGATCTTACAGGAAGAACAACATTCAAGCAAAGAAGAACGAATCTGATCACGAGGGTCAAGGAACCTATGTGAAAGTAAGTATGGATGGTGCACCATACTTGAGGAAGATAGATTTGAGTTGTTACAAAGGATACTCAGAATTGCTCAAAGCTTTAGAGATGATGTTCAAATTCTCTGTGGGAGAGTATTTCGAGAGGGAAGGATATAAAGGTTCAGACTTTGTCCCTACTTATGAAGACAAAGATGGTGATTGGATGCTCATTGGAGATGTTCCATGGGAGTAAGTCTTCTCTCATATATCTGTCGAAAACAACAAAATCAGCAGTTTTTTTAAAGTGTTCTTATGGGTTTTGTTTGTTGTTGCAGGATGTTTGTATGTACTTGCAAGAGACTAAGGATCATGAAAGGATCAGAAGCCAAAGGTTTAGGCTGTGGTGTATGAGACAAAGCTTCGGGAAACGAAACAGAGGTACCAAAAACCTATAGAGGACAGAGTTTCTCTTGGTCAAGAGAAATCTGTGTCTGTGCTCGGGTTGTCGGGTTTTCTCTCAGGCGAGATCTATGTTCATCGGGTTGGATTAAAGTCATTGCCTTTTTTTTACCTCATCGGTAAATTTCAAATGTACAAGAGTGCTTAATGATCTTAAGCATATGGAACTGGAACCTAATTCTCTTTGTTTCAGAAACAGGGCAAAAGGTTGTCCTTAGTCTTTGGTTATGTTTTACAATAAAAAATAAAAAATAAAGTGTTGAAGATTCAAATGTTTGTAGCAATCTGTTTCGTGTTCTCATTGATCAAAAGAAATTTTCAAGCAATACCAAAGAAAGATCTGAGATCAGATTGTTGATTATCTGGATGTTGGAACTCGTTTTTGACATAATGGTTTAAGACCATTACCGGTGAGTTTCCGGCGAAGACGTTCGTCGGAATAACCAGAAGTTAAGCTAGTCAAAGTCAGAGTTGTTGTGAATGAGAAATGGAGGTTCATATTGGGTTGTTTGTTAAGCTTAAAATATTATATTTATAAAATATCTTATTTGGAAGTTAGAGGTGAAATTCCTTTTATATATAAAATGGAGAATTCTAAATATACAGATTGGTATATCTAGAAAATGGATGATAAAATCGGACTTACATTTCGAGTCTCAAAATTTGACTAATGGAACAATAAATCAAAATTATTCTTTTAGAATAAAGTATTTTTTGTTGAATTCTATTGTTCACAAAGTTAATAAAAATATCATCTATAATTAAATCAAAAGGATGATTACACGCTCCATATGCAATCTCCATTTATTGTTACTACATTAATGTTGGTCGAGAAAATTGACTATATAAACAAGTCATTTCTTCTCATTTGACATATCGAACAACACATAACAAAATATCTCTCTCACTCTAAAAGTGTTCTTGTTCTAGCAATTCTCTGTTCTAAGTAAGTTTCGAGAGTTTAAAGTAGTTTTTTAAGTTCGTAAATTCCGTTTTTTCGAGTGCTGCGAAACGGTCTATCATCGGTTGTATCATGGGACTCTAAATCGTACAGAACCGTCTCACTACGGGCGATTTTTTGAGTTAAGGAAAGAGAATCAATTTCTCGACTCCGATTTTTATCTATGTTTTAATCGTGTTTTTAGTCTCGTTTTTATTATTTCTTTTACATCATTATCGTCTTAAAGTTATTTATTCATCGCAATTATTAATTCGGTTTTACGGTTCCTACACTGGATTGGATTCGATAGATTAAACTTAGATCAAAGCCAAGATAAATAAAGAAAAGTTAAGTAAAGGAATGGAAAAGCTTATCTTGAGGGAGGATTAACATTTTGCCCTAAGTAAAGAAAAGTTTAGGGTTCATCTCATTAGCCAAAAACAAAAGAAACCTATAGATCTTAACGTTGGTGACAACATCATCAATGACATCTATATACCGATTATATACCATCGTAGCATGTAAGACCAAGGCGGTAGTAGTAGCGAGCGAGAATCCATTAGAAGCTTCTTCGCCGTTCAAGCCTGAAACAGAAAATAGAAGAATACATAATCAGCATGACAAGTGAATGCAGATTCTTTAAGATAATTTCGGATGCAATGACTCGCTTCAAGTGGCTGGTCTACTTGGGATACATGAAAGTTTCCATTTTTACAGAGCAGTTAACATTTGCTGCTATTAAAGACACGCATTTCGCATTTTACTTGATGGACAATAAAGATGGAGAGAAAGATCGTGCAACATTTCTGTAGTCATATATATATTACATGAATCCTGCGTAAGTAGGTAGTATCATTTGGAAGATTGATGCAAGTACCAACAGAACTGCAAGAAAGAGTTAAGGGAAATTCACCTGCTGCTTCTTCGTCTTAGGCCTTCTCTTCCTCTTGGGTTTGTGAGCATCAGAATTAGAACTCAAGTTGCTGCTCTGACTAGTATGCGAACTTGTGGCAGCATATGAACACTGGCTTCTTCTCTGTGTAGTGTTGCTGGAGGAAGGTATCTCATTCCAATACATCCGAGATGCTGACGCAAACCTTGACATAGGTGCTGGCAGGAAAACCCTACTAGTGTTTGGCTTCTACAAGAAAAAACGAATCACTTGCCCAAAATAGTAGTATTCAGATTTGAAAACCAGAGCGGTTCACTGATGGTTCTCGTGTGTGTACGTGTTTCTTTTGTTTTTTGGTGAAAGGAGAAAACGAGGGATTGCAACAGTATTACTTCTCTGCCCCATTCAGAATTGATGATCTATATGCATCTAAATGAAAAAATATCATCCATAGCAATGCCGGATAATCATCCAATCTATTAATCTAACATCAGAAACAAAGATTTAAACAAGCACTGAAACCGAATTTGACAAGCTATAGAGAAGGCAACCACCATAAACGCTGAATTCGCACGGAGAGAAGAAGAGCGGTTACTTTACGAATCATGCGGCCTATGGAACGAATTTGATTCTTGAGAGAGGAGTTCTTCGGTTTCTTCTCCACGCGTAATCCTTTCGGTCTCCGACTGGTTCCTGCCGTCGTCTTCCGCCCCGCAACCCTCCACTTGGCATACCCGCCGTGCGCCATCGCCGAACTGTTTGATCAAACCTTGTCACTCGCAAAGTCACGATTATACTACCGGTTTCAGCTTAAACTAATGGAATCTACTACAACTTATTATTACACAATCTTTAAAATTTTGTTTGATTGGGTTTAGTTTACAGTGTCAATTCGGTTCTAATGCAGTTTCGGTTAAATGATTTTGTAAATTAATCAAATTATACGTAGTAAACTAATGGAATCGACCAAGTTGTATTCTGGATTTTTGGATTTACGTATATAAACTCAAGTACCCAACCCATAGAATGTGTTTTTTATCAATTAATCAGGCCCAATGGGCTCTTAATCCATTATAATTGAATATATTTTTAAGAGAAGCCTTTTTGTAGAAAATCATCTGTCCAAAGCATATAGGCACAATCACACAAATGGATATAAATCACATTTGAATTGGTCTTTTTTATTTATTTTGGCTATAGATAAAATTGTGTGTTTAGCGTTTGCGTTACCGTAAGCATAAATATATTAACTTTATACACACAGCAAGTGTTTGAAATACAAATAAGTAATTACCACTAACCAGTACATATATACAAGTGTTATAAAAAACCAGCGTGCAGTTATTACATTTGCACCATCAAAATTGTGTGTTCAAATATTAGTGTCAATTCGAATCATCAATAAATGATCCCTAACTACTAACTATATTTAATATGCATGTATGCCTAACTTGTAAATGTTACTCATATATGGCAGAGTAGTTGAATGTTGAAGAGCTTACGTTATAATTAAATGATGACGCTGCTCTTCTACAATATGATAATCGAAAAGAGTATTCAATAGAATGAAGCAATAATGGTGGAAAACAAACAAATATAATATCTATATATAGAAATAGAACTATATTCATAGCTCGCCCGTATTGTATCTTAATTATGGATGGATTTTTAAGAGTTAGTAGCTTATTTTTGGAACAATTTAATTAATCGAACTAAACCAAAAACCGGACCAAAATTATTTCAAAATAAAAGTTTTAGTATAGATTTACAAGACTTGAATGAAGTAACAAAACCCCCCAAAAAAACCTGAGATATCTTTTTTACGGGGGTTTTTTTTTTAATAAAAAAGAGAAAAAAGAACAACCTATCTTCCACGAGGTATTTCTTGCTCAAATACTTCGTTTGGTTAGAAGTTCTTGGCATTTATAGTAATTTCTATTTACGACTCCATTTTTGGGTGACTTACCTCAGAATCTTTCAACAAATCTTCGACACGCAGTTCAAAACAATTATACTTTATAGTTTATGCTATATCAAACATTATAGTATAGTTATGCCAAATTTGATTACGCACGTAAAGTATGTTTTATAAAATGTGTGGACAATCACGACGACAACAACAACAAAAATAGAAAAGGGATATATAGGTTGACAAAATGAAAACCTCGAATTGACCAAAGTATAATTGTCCCTTGTTCCAAATTCGCAGTTGAGACGTGATTACGAATTTAAACCGGTGTGAACCGAAATGCGAAAACAAGACTTGAATTCTTCACATTTCGCACACGCGTAAAACTTTCAAAATTGCAAGCTGCCATCCTTAAAATTACACAGATTTGTTTATTCGGTCCCATAAGTTTTAAGAATTACAGTTATGACCATAATAATAATGTTACATGATCCGCCGTTCTAGATCACCTAACTACCAACCGTCATCGCCACAACTGGCAAAGGTCGGAAACAATTGAATCGTAATGAGTACGTTCCTTGCGTTCTATCCTCGAAATGAAGATTGCAAATCTCATATGGGGAAAAAATTTAAAATACAAAAATATCCAAAATTCAAACAATACCAAAACTGAATATGATCCGGTTTGCTTTTTTAGTCTGATGGATAAACTTAACCGCCAAATATGTACGTAATATATGTTTGATCGGTTTGGGTCAAAACTGAACTAATGAATGCATAGTTTGTTCACCTCCACAACAATAACCATAGGGACTATACGTACCATATCTACATTTATTATATTGCCTCCTTCTCTTTCTCAAACTTTGCTTATAAATTCTCGAATAGTCTCCAACTTTCTAGGTCATAAGTTATCTCCTTCTCTTACATTAAACACAATCTCTTTTACAACCTTTTCCCTTCTTTTTTCTGGCCTTGTTAGTTTTAAAACCAAAAGACCTACCATGAATGATAATCAAATTCAAAGTGAACAGATGAACAATAATTCATCAATCACAACCATTCATGTAACAAACACAAACACAAACACAAACAAAAAACTCCCAAACTTTCTCTTATCGGTACGCCTCAAATACGTTAAACTCGGTTACCATTACCTAATCTCTAACGCCGTCTACATCCTCCTCCTCCCCGTCCTCCTGGCCGCAACCTCCTCCTCCTTAAGTCTCTCCGATCTCACTCTCTTATTCAACCACCTCATCAATTTCCACTTCCTCTCGTCCACTCTCTTCGCGGCTCTTCTTATCTTTCTAACCACCTTCTACTTCACAACACGTCCTCGAAAAGTCTTCCTCCTCGATTTCGCTTGTTACAAACCCGACCCTTCTCTTATATGCACACGAGAAACATTCATGGACCGGTCTCAACGTGTAGGTATCTTCACAGAAGAAAACCTCGCTTTCCAACAAAAGATCCTCGAACGTTCCGGTTTAGGACAAAAGACTTACTTCCCGGAAGCTCTGTTACGCGTCCCACCGAATCCTTGTATGTCCGAAGCGAGGAAAGAAGCTGAGACGGTTATGTTTGGAGCTATAGACGCAGTGCTTGAAAAAACTGGAGTGAAGCCTAAGGATATTGGAATACTTGTGGTGAATTGTAGCTTGTTTAATCCCACGCCTTCTCTATCGGCTATGATCGTGAATAAATATAAGCTTAGAGGAAACGTTCTGAGCTATAACCTTGGTGGTATGGGTTGTAGTGCTGGTCTTATCTCCATTGATCTCGCTAAACAGCTTCTTCAGGTACTTTTATTTTAAATTCAGTCCATTAATTACAGATTAACGACCTTTTTTTTTTTTACTATATACTAAGATTCGCTTTCAATAGGATCATTAGATAAAATAAAAAATAAGATTCTCGTGACAAAATTAATACATTTATGGTAGGGAGGTTGGGACTCTTCTAGTTTTCTTCACGTCATGTCATTATCTATATAAATACTTTGGTTACTGATTTTATGAAAAATAGTGAAAACTCTAGCTTTGATTATGAGCACTGCACGTGTACTATAATGAAGTTTGTGCCAGGCTTGTATTTTGTCTTTAGGTAGGTGGTAGTTGCGAAAATTGAAAAACTATATAGATTGTCATAATAGCAAGTACATTTTGCTGTCTTTTTAACAACAGCAAAAAAGCAAGTACATTTTGATTTAGTATACAATCTATGTGTCTGTATATAATACTTACAAACAAAACAGTACATATATGTAGTACGGTCAATTTAAAGTGGGCTATGTAACGGTTGGATTTGAATAGTTGGTAGATCCTGTTAAAACAGTAATTATAAATAATTTTCCGTTTTATATATATATGGACGATTCATTAATAAAGAATATATTTAATTAATATTGTTTTTAAACAATAATCACATAAATGCATTTTAATAATGCGCCAATGTTTTGCTATAAATATGGTTGCGCATTATTTTTCGAATTTACAAAAAAACCCAAATTAAATGATTGATAAGACTAAAGTATGTGATCTAGTTTTGATGACTTTTAAATCCTTTCGTAAAAATACATATATAGTGTTTTCTTCAGTCAATTATATATAAAATCATGTAAAAAAAGAGAGAACATCACAATGAAAGATCGATTTGAGTAAGATAAAATAATTAGTGGTTTTGTAAACAAAATATACAATCAAAACTGACGCGTCATGCTTGCTTAGTTATGTTTAATCGAGGAAATGTTTGTTGAACAACATCACCAAAAACAACAGGTTTTTAAAGAGTATAAGTTTCATGAAATCGAAATACACGTTATATGGTGCCATGCATGTGTTTAACGAGTTTCGTCATATGTAATTTTTTTTTATAAATAACATTGGAAAATAGCAAAATTTTGAAAAGGAACTAAAGTACGCAATAAAAAAATATAAAATTTAAAAAGTTCGAAATTGTTCTTTTGTACTTGCTCATTAAAAAAGATAACCGAACATAAACCGTAATGACATGTTTTTTACCAACCAGATAAAAAAGTCCAAAAATTTGACGTACAACATTCACGTACACACAACGTATTTCTTCTATTTTCTAACTAATCGACTGTAATTTCATGCAGGTCCAACCAAATTCATACGCACTAGTAGTGAGCACAGAGAACATAACCCTAAACTGGTACTTAGGCAACGACCGATCAATGCTTCTCTCAAACTGCATTTTCCGGATGGGCGGCGCCGCCGTTCTCCTCTCAAACCGCTCCTCCGACCGTCGCCGCTCAAAATATCAGCTCATCCACACCGTCCGTACACATAAAGGAGCTGACGACGACGCCTTTAACTGCGTTTACCAACGCGAAGACAGCAACGACAACAACAAAATCGGTGTCTCGCTCTCCAAAAACCTAATGGCTATCGCCGGAGAAGCTCTCAAAACGAACATTACCACTCTCGGACCGCTAGTCCTACCAATGTCCGAGCAGCTTCTCTTTTTCGCGACACTCGTGGCTCGAAAAGTCTTTAAAGTCAAGAAAATCAAACCTTATATTCCTGATTTCAAGCTAGCTTTCGAGCACTTCTGCATCCACGCGGGAGGCAGAGCAGTGCTCGATGAGATCGAGAAGAACTTGGATCTTTCTGAGTGGCATATGGAGCCTTCGAGGATGACTTTGAACCGGTTTGGGAACACTTCGAGTAGCTCGCTTTGGTATGAGCTTGCGTATAGTGAAGCTAAAGGGAGGATTAAGAGAGGAGATAGGACTTGGCAGATTGCTTTTGGGTCCGGTTTTAAGTGCAACAGTGCGGTTTGGAGAGCATTGAGAAGTATTGATCCGTCTAAGGAGAAGACTAATCCGTGGATCGACGAGATTCATGAGTTTCCCGTTCCGGTTCCGAGGATATCTCTAGTCTCATCATCTTCGTCGCAATCTCGATAGTTGAAGTTTTTCGTTTTTCAATGTAATATGGATTCTCATCACTATAGCAGTTC